CAAGCATGACATCCTTCTGAGGTCTCTAGGGTAGATTCTAATGCCTAATTCCTTCTGAGTGGTGTCTTATGAAAGGGAAAAACAAAAATAACCCCAAACACTTGCCTTCTTCGCAATTCCCACTCATGGTGACCCCATGTATTTCAGAGTAGACCTCCTCTATAGGGTTTTCTTGACTGTAATCTTTAGGAAACCAGATCACCAGGACTTTCTTTCACGGCACCACTGGGTGGGTTAGAACCACCAACTTCTTGGTTAGCAGAAGAGCACATTTCCTGTTTGCATCATCCAGGAACTGCACTGGGTTTGGGGGCATCATAGGGACTTGAGGTCACTTAGAGAGGTCAGAGGTCACTCACAGGTATCATAATGGCCTCTGGAGTACAACACTTAGAACATTTCTTTTGAGCCAGGAGCCAAGATGCATTTCTCAAACATTTATTGTTGCTCCCTTGGGCTGCAAAGACAGCTCACAAGACTCCTGTCTTTGAGGCCACCCAGTCTACAGAGAGATGCAGGGAAAACAGCTCCATCCCTGAGTCTCCTGAACCAGGCGAGGGAGGGAGGTGGGGTCGGATCACCCAGGTCTTGAACCCTGGTTGGAGGTGCTAGGAACAGGGGTTTGGGAGCCAGTGGAAACAGTCAAATCGGCTTGTGAGGGGGTGCAGTGAGATTAGGTAGAGAACCCAGAGCTCTGGTTGAAGTGGGCGGGCAACTCTCAATAGTGGCGGGTAGATGGGTGGTGGGCAATTGAAGGTGGTGGGCAGGTTGCAGGGCAGTGGGCGGGTCCCTTCTCAGTGGACGTGGCTACAGGAAGCAAGGAGGTGTCCGTTAGCATCTGCGCCGCTTCTCGCAGACCCAGTTGTCTCTCTCGTTGTTGCATGGTGCGTCATTCCACAGCCCAGTACGCAGCATCATGACGCAGTTTTCCACACCTCGCGCGTCATTGGGCTCACCCTCGTTCCAGTGGCTGCAGCGGGTGGGTGGGGTGTTGCTGAGGATGGGCCTGGGGTCCAGCCTTCCTTCCTACCGTCTAGCCCGTTTATTTCTGGGGTCTAACCTAGGCACGGTGCAAGTTTAACTTGAACACGTCTCTGGGATATAACTTCCTTCAGCCAGTTCCGGGGATCTAACCTGAGCATCCCTAAGGACCTAGCCTGAGCAAATGAGCCCCTGAGATCTGATCTAAGAACTTCCCTGGAATCTGATGTGGCCCCACTTCCCAGGTTTTGCGGAGTCCCTCCCTCACCTGAAGGTGAGCTGGACGCCGTCCACCCACTGGTAGACCTGGACCTTGCCCTGCTGTCGCACGGCCCGCAGACCCAGCCAGTAGCCAAGCCCACGTGTGTTCCGACTCAGGAAGGTCTAGGTGGAGGGGACAGGAGAGCCGGTTGAGTCGCCCCCCCCCCGCCCCACAGACGAACGGCGCCTCCCCTGGCCTGCTGCGCGCGCACCTGTTCCTCCAGGTCCTTCACGATCACCAGGTGCGCGCCGACGTCAGCGCAACTCTTGCGAGCCTCCTCCCACTTGGCCCGCTGCTTCGAGAAAAAATAGCAGGAGCCCTCGAAGGGTAGCCACGACTTGGGGCAGGGCTCGCAGGAGTCTGCAGGGGTGGGCGGGAGTCATGAGAAATCAGGCTGCTCCCCCGCTGGGCAGACCGACAGAATGGGGTAAGCTGGACCCGCGAGCCCAGGAGCGGCTCCAGAGAACCTGGGCTGAAGTCAAAGGAGTGCGCAGACCAGGGAACCCCGAGGCCCACGTGCAGCGTCCACTTCCCGCCCCCCTGCCCCGCGAAGCTCACTGTTCCCACGCTTGGCGGCCTCCAGCGCCCGGAGCAGCTCACTGCGGATGTCCTCGCGGTCCCTGTGGGCTTCTGCCACGTCCTTGGTCACTGTGGGGTCAGGGGAGTCTAGATTATGGCTGGGCTCAGGATCAGGTGCAGAGTCATGCCTGAGTAACG